TCCAAAATTGGCACAGCCAGGTGAGGAAGCTGCTCTAAACAAATGGACTTTCATCCAAAAAACTGATGGCAGAGACTCGAGATCACCATTCTCCCACCATAAGAACCTCAAGTAGTCTTGGTCTTCAGACTTTACATGGAATTGATGGAACATTCATTCCACATCACACATAATAGCGACTGGGCCCTTTCGAAATCTACAAAGAACTCCCACCAAGGTGTTTGTGAGCTCTGGCCCTGTAAGAAGGTGGTCATTCAATGATATATCTTGAAATCTTGCCGAGCAATCGAAGACCACTCGCAGTTTCTCTGGCTTTTGAGGGTGGTATACACCATGGTGGGGAATACAGTGGGGCAAAAAAAGTATTTAGTCAGCCACCGATTGTGCAAGTTCCCCCACCTAAAATGATGACAGAGGTCAGTAATTTGCACCAGAGGTACACTTCAACTGTGAGAGACAGAATGTGAAAAAAAAATCCATGAATTCACATGGTAGGATTTGTAAAGAATTTATTCGTAAATCAGGGTGGAAAATAAGTATTTGGTCACCTAACAAAAACAATCAATACTTTGGTAAATAAACACGTTTGTTTGAAAACCAGAAGGTCCAAGTTTACTATAGTATTTACAGGTTTGCCACAAACACCAAGTAGTGGTTTTTGATTCTATGCAGCATCTTTCCCGAGATAGTGATGTTTTGGGATGTACGCAGAGCAACCAACCAAACCGACATTTCAAATAACGAACCAGATTTTCCTATGGGTTGAGGTTGGGATGGCTAGTAAATCACAGCGACTTTTCCCAAATGCCTTTACGGAGCACTAATTTGTGACCGGGAAAGGTTGTTTTGGATCATTGTCTGTTGGAGACCCAGACTCGTCATTCCATCTTAAAGTTCCTACACTGATGGAAGGAGGTTTTGCTACAACAAATCTAACACGAACATGGACACATATCAGTCGCTGTCCTTAACACGGATTCAAGTCGTCCTTAAACCTTGCCAAGAAAAAAGATGATGTGTTACAACAAACATGCATTCCACGTAGGTAATGTTTCCTTGGGATGCCAAACATCCAGTAGTCCTTCTGATAAAAACGAACACGAGTTGAGTTTATATCAAAAAGTTTTACTTTGTTTCATCTGACCACATGACATTCTCCCAATCCTCTGCTGTATCATCCATGTGCTCTCTGGCAAACTTCAGACGGGCCTGGACATGCACTGGCTTCAGCAGCGGAACACGTCTGGCACTGCGGGATTTGATTCCCTGCCGTTGTAGTGTGTTACTGATGGTGACCTTTGTTACTTTGGTCCCAGCTCTCTGCAGGTCATTCACCAGGTCCCCCCGTGTGGTTCTGGGATCTTTGCTCACCGTTCTCATGATCATTTTGACCCCACGGGATGAGATCTTGCGTGGAGCCCCAGATCGAGGGAGATTATCAGTGGTCTTGTATGTCTTCCATTTTCTGATGATTGCTCCCACAGTTGATTTTTTTCACACCAAGCTGCTTGCCTATTGTAGATTCACTCTTCCCAGTCTGGTGCAGGTCTACAATACTTTTCCTGGTGTCCTTCGAAAGCTCTTTGGTCTTGGCCATGGCGGAGTTTGGAGTCTGACTGTTTGAGGCTGTGGACAGGTGTCTTTTATACAGATGATGAGTTCAAACAGGTGCCATTCATACAGGTAACGAGTGGGGGACAGAAAAGCTTCTTACAGAAGATGTTACAGGTCTGTGAGAGCCAGAGATTTTCCTTGTTTGAGGTGACCAAATACTTATTTTCCACCCTAATTTACGAATAAATTCTTTACAAATCCTACCATGTGGATTCATGGATTTTTTTTTCACATTCTGTCTCTCACAGTTGAAGTGTACCTCTGGTGCAAATTACTGACTTCTGTCATCATTTTAAGTGGGGGAACTTGCACAATCGGTGGCTGACTAAATACTTTTTTGCCCCACTGTATACCAAGCTGACTGTATATCAAGATCTTCTTCTGGGACCTTTTCTGCTTCACCATGGCTGATAATGTCTTTCATGAAGTTCATGTAGTCTGTCCAATATTTCTGGTCTCTCTTGAGCTTCCTCTCCAAGCACATGAGGTGTTGAACAGCTTATTATTGTTTGGTAGCTCTGGTCTGCTCTGTTTAAAAGGCAGAGGCATTTCCGTCTTCTTTGTGCTTTATTTCTTCATGCATTTTAGTCAAAAACCGGAGATCTTCTTGCAAGAGATTTGCCTCTTCTCCAAGCCTTTCACTGAAGTCAGATTTCAGCACCTTAAATACATCTTCTGGCGCAGTCAACTCCTTAATTCTTGTCTTGCAAGCATAATGAACTTCGCTCTTCACCTTACTTGTTACTTTGGGTTCAGGGGTCACTCGCTTTACAATGATGTGGTGACTTACTCCAATTGCATCACTGTAGTGTTCGCCTGGATCTCCATAGCTCACTTTGCACCAGCCTACATCAGTTTTCTGTACGAAGGGCTGGTTGTTCTCATCACTCATAACTTCTCTAGGCATTAGTGCTTGTGAACAGTTATACCCGATAAGAAGACCGATTTCACATTTCTTCGGCGGGGCAATGTGTTCCACAAGATGCTCTAAATGAGGCCATGTCCTTGCAGTCTGGCGTTGGAATGTGTGTACGATTGGCAGGTATGAATTCACGTGTGTAGACCGTTGACACTGTGATCTTCTTAGAAGATAACCCTCTTATTTGAGTCTTTTGCATGGTACAATTGTCTCCTTAGACAACACTGTGGTCAGCTTCAACTTAACTGGCTCTGCATTAACATCAAGCGCATCCGCTACTTCTTCAAGAATGAACAAAGAGTCACTTTGTGAATCTAACAGAGCATAGACGAGGACTTCTTTATTTGAATTACTTGGCATTGATGCATAAACAGGAACTATTGCTGAAGTCTGAGCACTATTACCATCATGCACAACTCTATTGGATGTGGTTTTTTGAATGGTGTCTTGCGGCGATTGTGGCTTTCTTTCGTTACTGCACCTTGTCTCGTCATTGTCTTGTTGTTTTGAGCGGTCCTCATGTAGGCATGTGGGGTGGCATTTTGAGCAGGTGTTACAGACCATCCAGTTGCTGCAGTTCTTGGATTGATGGCCAGGACTCAAACAGCCAAAGCACAGTTTCTCACCTTGAATGAACTTCACTCGGTCAGCAACTGGCCTTGCAGTTAGTCTACGACACTTGTGCAAGACATATCCTGTTTTCTTACAAAACATACATGTGCTTATGTTTTTCTCAGTGGTGTTAGTTGCAAAAATCCTTGCACTTGCTGCTTGGTTCTTAGAGGTCACTACATTCTGAGGTTTAGATCTTGTCTTTTCCAAATCCCCTTGCTGCAAAGTCAGGAAAGTTACAAAAATACTTAAAATCTGGGAACCTTCCATGCTTCCATCCTCAGGGGTGGGCAATTCCAGGCCCCAAGGGCCGGTGTCCTGCAGGTTTTAGATCTCACCTTGGGTCAACACACCTGAACCACATGATTAGTTCGTTACCAGGCCGTTAGCCATTTAAATCAACTGTGTTGGTTGAAGGACATATCTAAAACCTGCAGGGACACCGGCCCTCGAGGCCTGGAGTTGCCCACCCCTGCTCTAGCTGATACTGCGTGGCTTTTTGGTTCCATCTGTTGCTTAACCAGTCAGGCAACTTGGCTGTCAGTTTTTGATTTTCAATGCCATCACCAAGAATACGCAGACTCTCATTGTGACCCATGGCACATTCACAACTGTGTAAAAAGTCCACAAATTTCCTTACGTCAGCGCTCTCTCTTCACGCTGTTTTTGGCCAGGCATGTAATTTGTCTCGGCAGGCTTTTGGCAATCATAAAAGGCTGGCTGTATCGCTCATTGAGCAGTTCCCATGCAGCATCATATGCAGTATCTGAACCAATCAGAAAATAACCGTCTAATGCCTCTCTAGCCACTCCTCCAACAGATTTCTGAAGGAAGAATATTTTCTCTGAGCTTGGAATGTTTTTCTTTTCAATTAGAGCTTGGAAGGATGACTTCCAATGATTAAACTTGAGTGGATCACCACTAAAAACTGTGGGCTCTGGAATAGGTAGCCTATTTGCTGATATAATAATAATGGATTGGATTTATATAGCGCTTTTCAAGGCACCCAAAGCGCTTTACAATACCATTATTCATTCACTCTCACATTCATACACTGGTGGAGGCAAGCTACAGTTGTAGCCACAGCTGCCCTGGGGCAGACTGACAGAAGCGAGGCTGCCATATCGC